GTCCAACTCCCTGTTCAAGCAGGAAATCCTACACCATTTCAGACAAATGACTGTCCAATTGTTTCTTAAAACCTGTGCTGGAGCACCCACAATTTCTGGAGGCAAGTTGTTCCACCGATTAATTGTTCTGTCAGGAAATGTATTCTTAGTTCTAGGTTAGTCCACTCCTTGATTAGTTTCCACTGCTTCTTGTTCTGCCTTCAGGTGATTTGGAGGACAACCCCTCTTCTTTGTGGCAATTCTTCTGAGCACTGAAGCTCTTCAGAAGAGAAACCTAGCTGCTTACTCACAAGTCTTCCAGTTTATTTTAATCACACATCTTAATACAACAAAGGATTTCCTACACTTTTCAGATTTGCAACTGACAAGTTCACATGCTTTTCTCAACACACTTAATCTAAGCCCTACACAAATGCCCATCACATTCATTCCTTTCCTTCAATTTAAGCAGCAATATGCTCTACCTGTGATTTTGCTCATTTACAATATTCAATAAAAAAGGAGGAGGAAGAAAGAAAGAAGATAGAATACTAGATTATCAAAAAAGCCAACTCCACTGGTCATATACAATTCGCCCCATGTAGCTGGGAAATCAGACAGTCCTGTGCAGCAGAGAGGAGAGCTTCTCATTGGTTTCACACAGGTTTTGTAGGTGGCAGGGAAGAGTGGCTGTTCAATAGGGCATGAACACCACCCATCTATACACACACTTCAAGCAATGAACAGCAAAAGGCAGACAATAAAAAGACTCCATAAAACAGGAGGGTAACAAGACACTTTTAAAGGGACACAACAGTCCCTCGATCTCCTAAAAAAGGCTCCCTATCTCTGCATGGGCACCTGCATCCACTAGGGTATTGGTCAAGAGAAGGGACTATCAGATGCTTCTGGTTGCCTTAGATTCTATAGAGGCCTTTAGTTTCCTATTCATGTTTCCCTATGAAGTAAATTCCCTACTTAACCCTTAAATAGATATTTTTTCTTTCCACCCCACTCGTGGATTTGACATTTATATTCCTTTTTTACTATTTTACTTCATTTTGCGATTCCACTTTTCTCCAGTCACAGATGAGACGCCGTTTCCCCCTCTTCATTACTCCACCAAGGAGCCTCGTTGTGAGGTAAAAATTTTAGAACGTCCACCAGTTTGAGTTTTTTTCTTTAATTTGGAACTGGTTTTCCTTCCGATATTTCTTTTTCGTCAGCATTATTTCTTTTGTCAGAAGCTGCTACCTGCTCTTTACAATTATTCTTAGGCACCCAGAGCTGAGAATTTGAAAAGAGCAGCTGTGTATATTGAAGTAAAGAAATAAAAATCTACAAAAATTTTCCTGACAGATTTTTTCCCCTCCCTCCGCCGCCACCTTTTTCTGACAGGCAACCAATGAGAAGTCTCTTTACTGTTATTCTCAACGCCCATCATTTCTGCCCTCAGCCTCCCCTCAAAGGCGCGCTCCTCCTTCCCGCCCTTGCAGAGTCCCTGTCACACTGCTCAGAATCCTCCAGGGGGCGCCCTCTGACACGAGAAGGTAACGCCGAGCGCTTCCCATTGGTCCACTGGAGGACGAACGTCACAGCTGGCTTTCCAGAGGAGCCGTGGCATCACTAAACGCTGGCCGCTCTAGGACGCCGGCCTCGCTCGCCTTAACCTTTGTGGCTCCGCAGAAGGCCGGAGAGTCTGCGGGAGAGTCTGGCCGAGGGAAGGCCCCGAGTGGGGTGAGAGGAGGGTCGGCCTTGCGGAGGCCCAGCAGGAGAGGGGAGAAATCGGCCGAAGTAAGGTTGTGTGAACCTGCCTCCCGCAGGGAGACTCGACTAGGCTCTCCAAAGCACACCCTGAAGAAGGGAGGGGGGCTCCTCAACCAGGGTTATTTCCTGGAAATTCATTCGGTTTGTTCGCCTGTTTTGGGTTTGGCAGGTGGTGTGAACCCTACTTGGAGGTAAATGTAGCTCTAGGTTTTAAAAAGGAAGCCCTTTCTTGTAAGTAAAATATATAAATATTCCAAAGTTTAACACGCACACACTTAAGATTCATCTCCAATAGCTTCCACCCCTACACCAGCTCTGAAAAAATACTTCCTTCCATGGGATGAGTGTTGTTCAGCGGTGAAATCTGTATTTTCTAATTCTTGAAATTTCTTTTCCATCTCAGATGTATGAAGTTGGAAGCCGTTTGTACGTCTTCGCATACAGCCAAAGTATCTCATCTAAACTGAACTGCTTGCTGAAGTCACTCCTGCGGAAACAGAAACCATCCTCTGAATGAAAAGGTGTTTCAAGATCTAAAAACATTCCTTGGAGTTACTCCAGAGACAGGATGGAGACACAACTTTTAGCAAGTGAGACAACTAAAAAAGGTCCTTCCGCTGTTCAGGATGGAAGCTGTGGGGAAATCAGGGCAAGTATTGAGCAGGAGATCCTGGAGGAGGAAACCATCATCCATTCAGAAATTCAGCCCTGGAACTTCAGGAGCGTCCAGGAGGCTGAGGGTCCCCGTGGACTTTGCAGTCAACTCCACAAATTTTCCAGGCAATGGCTGAAAAGGGAAAAGTACACCAAAGCGCAGATGCTGGACTTGGTTGTGCTGGAGCAGTTCTTAGCCCTTCTGCCCCCGGAGATGGAGAGCTGGGTGCAGGAGTGTGGAGCAGAAACCAGCTCCCAGGCAGTGGCCCTGGTGGAAGGCCTCCTCCTGAGCCAGGTAGAGGAGCAGAAGGATCAGGTCGAGTTGCAGGTGAGACACTTTCATCTAGGAAGCTCAGAAGGGAATGAGAAATGTTTTTGAACTCCTCCTTCCCAGACTTTTTTGACACTCGTAATATATGGAGATGTCTGGACATGCCTTGTAGATTTGAAGCTAACTCTTGAGCCAGGCTCAGGAGAAGGACCAGGTTGAGTTTCAAGTGAGGGATTTTTTTCTTGGAAGTCCAGAATGGATTTGAAAGGAATAAAGAATGTATTTGAATTCTTCATCCCTTCTTTCCAGATTTCTCTGGCATCTTCTATTTATATAAAAGCGAAATACCACTCACGCATCACCACAAAATCTCTAGAACTGTAAAGCCTACAAACTTGAAATTTGGCACGTATGTTCCTCTTGGCTTCTAGGTGCTCACTAAGAAGGGATTTTTTGAAATGACCATCAGAGCATTAGTATTTCATATATATTAACACGTTCTGATGCTAAGGAGTTCTACTCCTGCTCCCAGCCTGAAAAGAAATCTGTTCCAAATGCAAGATACAAGCAGAGGAGAGGAGTTTCAGTTCCAGTTTTAACTTCACAGCAGCAAACAACTTTAGTGCAGAACAGTTGAGCTAAGCCCGCCCAGGTTCCTTGCTCACACAGCAAATATTGTTTCAGTTTCCAAACAGCCCTCAATTCTCATATACCAACAGGATGCTAGCCAGATGAATACCGATAAATGCTGGTAGACAGAGGCAGATTTTTTTTTTCCTCCACAAAAAATATGCCCGACCAGTTTTGTAGCAAAGCACAGATATTGAGCTAGTTCATAATATATGGAGATGTCACACCAATTCTTGTAGGACATTGTACCATTACTCATTGTAGATTTGAAGCAACCTTTCTTTTCTTACCCACTGTCACTGATGGATGTTTGGAATTCTGATAACATGTTCAGAGTACAAAGAATTTAGTTGATATTGTATGATATCCATTAATTGTTCTTTTAATCCTGTTTCATATTTTTAATCCGCTGTGAAGATCAAGGATATTGAGGAAAGGAGGAATCTAGGAAATATCCCTCCAGAGTTGTTTTTCCGGAGGTTCTCTCAGGAAGATCCAAATCAAGACACCTCAGGAGGTAATCAAAGGTTGCCACATTCCACATAGAAATCTTAGCTCTCTCATTTTATCCGTGTCTTCTGTAGAATACCTCCGCCTAATTTGCTAATTATGCGTTTTAAACTTCTGTATCCCCCAACAGGTCTTCATAGAGGAGATGAAGGAGTGGTTGAACTCCCAAATCAAGTAAGTGGGAGAAATTAGTTTTATTAGATTTGTATTCTCCCTTTCCTCCAGGAAGACCACTCTCTATTTCCATTTTCCTTCCTGTTTGGCCTGGGTTATTTCTGTGTTCTTGAACAATGTGAAAATGGGAATAGTATGATCAAGTTGCTCTCAGCTAGCTTAGCTTTTTCTGAAGACTGTTGTTGGGGCACAGTGGATTACTATTTCCATTGTCATTCTTTTTAAGATTTTTTAAAAATGTAATATTCATGAGACCCCCCCCCCACTCACTGTGCATGCACACACGACCCCTGCCATGCGCATGCGACCCCCTGACCCCCCCCTGCTATAAGTGCGTGACTCCCTGCGCATATGTGTATGTCTCCCGCATGCATGTCCCCCCCCCCGTGCATGTGCGGCACATACCCGACAATTGGCTGGCAGGGGGTGCATGTGCAGAGGGTCTGTTCTGGGCGACGACTCGCCTGCTGGCAGAAATGGAGGTAGATGATAGGTCAATCAATATACAGTGGGTTAGTATCACGGAATGGCACTGAAAGTCCTGAAGAATAAATGAAGTTGATAGATATGGTTAAATTACTTCTTCAGGCAAAGGTTTCTGGCTTCATACATTTTCTCAGCTAAACCTCGGATTCCTACCAAGCACAGCCCTGTAAGTTAGCGCATATCTGGTTTGGGAGTTTGGGAACAATGGAGCAGATCTTGCAAATGATCCTGGTCTTGTTCTGTTCTCTTTTTCCCCATATCCAGGTAGGTCCTGTGTCCTTCAGGGAGGTGTCTGTGTATTTCTCTGAGGAAGAATGGTCTCGGCTGGATCCTGACCAAAAAGCACTGTATTGGGAAGTCATGCTGGAAAATCATAGGAACATGGCCTCTCTGGGTAAGGGTTTGCTACTTTGCAATCAGACTGCTTAGGAAGTCATTCTGTAATCAGATCTGTTCTGATCAAGGCTTCCTGAGACCATAGTTAATCACATGCTTAGTCCAAACAACTCTCTTTTTATTTCAACGATGGGAATTATGTTCATTCCCAGTCCGTAATGAGTCCCAAACAGTCTCTCGAGATAAGCACCTACCTTTATCTCCTTTGAATTGCTGCCAACAACTAAAGTGCTAAATTAACTGTAAAAAGCCAACCGGAATACTAAGTCTACACAGAGCTTCAAGTGAACAACGTTGCTTCCTGCAAAGGGTCCTGTCCCTTTGCTCCTCGTTTATGTCTTATGGGAGGGGCCAATCACCTCCAAGCCTTATTCCTGAGTCTTAACTGTTCTTGCCTTCTGGCAGCTCTGCACATGCGCGCACTGGGAACAGGCTCCCCTTATTCCTCTGCCTTGCTGTCAGATTCTGGAGACTCCGGAGTCAGCATATAACTCCCAGATGGCCCTGGCCCCATCTCTGTGTTGGACGCAGGACCCTCATCCTCCCCAGACTCCCAGACTGGCCCTTGTTCTTCCCCACTATCTGACTCTGCTGCCGTCTCCGCAGGCTGCCGGAGGACCACAGAAAGTGCTATCAGCTGCACTGTGGGCAATCATGCTGTTCCCCAAGATTGTGCACCTTGTAGAAAAATGCAAGGCAGCCTTTCTGAGTGAAAGTGGTGGTCCTAGGGCTCATGTTGATAGCCAGGCACCTACCTCAAGCCCAGCCTTGGCTCTACAGCTAAGAGCCCCTGTTCAGGGTGATCTGAATGGGGGAGAGAGATAATAGAGAATTGTTTATCTTTTGTTTTATGTATGTGCGTGATGCCAGCTAAGTCAAGTTAAGTGTCAAACTTTTGATGTGCTGAATCCAAACTTTTTGCCATCTCTGGGCTCAATAGCACCGTTTTCCAATTGTAAATCTGCTTTTGAGACTTAATAGAAGAACTTTTGGTTTCCACCCCTGGAATCATGTAATTTTGGCAAAAGAAAATGATTAACAAAGGGAAGATAGTTTGTATGGGAAGAAAAAGACATGTTTCAAAATTTACTTAGTTGTTACAGGTCTTTCCTGGAATTGGCACCCTTCAATAAATGTTTAGTTTTCTCCTCATTCCTCTTGGACATTTTGTTTCCCCTGATTCTTCTTTAACTCAAATCAGAATAATTCTAAATAAAAAAGGATGTTTGCAATAGTGGTGATTAGGCGAAACAGGATGTTTTAGAACTTTTAATATCTTTTATAGCTCATGCATGTAGGAATTATCATTTCTGTGTCATGCCATTGTAAGAGTGCAAACATGTAATTTGACTAGAATTCAGAGGGGAAATGCATAGTACTTTGATCTTTGGTTTGATCTTTTCCCTAACTTTGCTGTCATTTTCATTTTTCCATCTTTTTTTAAAGGCGATGATGGGAAGGAAAATAAAGATTCCTATGAACTATTACAAGGGAACACTACTGGAGACACAATGGAGACATCTGTAATTGAAATGGAAGTAGAAAGATACGAAGAAAAACAGTCTGACGATTGGAATCAGGAAAGCTCATCTTGCACTGATGCCTCGGTGCAAGACTTCGTGGTCCAAGAAGGGAAAATAGAGGAATATATTGGGGAAAGTGTGAAGCAAATCAAAGACGAAATACATGCAGATGGACACTATTCATCCCAAACTAACGGAGAAGGTAATATATTCAGAGACAATGGGAAAAATTACAACTGGACATTCACTCTTTCTGGTGGAAATAGGTCCCTTACATCTCAAAAAAGGCCCCACACAGAAGAGAAGCAATCTAAAAGTTGGGAATGTGAAGAGACATTTAGAAAAGGCTATCGACTTACTTCCCATAATTGGAACCACACAGGTGAGAAGCCCTATAAATGCAGAGAATGTGGCAAGTGCTTCAGAAGACAGAGTAATCTTAGTACTCATAAAAGGATCCACACAGGGCAGAAGCCACA